CACTTCCGGTCGAATTTTCTCAAAAACCTTCAAATTTCTATATTTAGCCAAACGGCTCCAAAATGACATACGGACCTCCGAATTCACTTCCGATCGCGCTCCCAAATCCAGAATCACCATACGGAGCTACTCCTAGTCTCGAAATTCCAAACGGACATCAATAACATTGAAATGCATTTTAAGCCAAACTGATGCAATTTTTTCTAAAATGTTATCTTCTACAATAGGCGCCAAAACGCTCCCGGGTTATCCAAAACCCGATCCAGGTATACGCCTAAGTACGAAATCATCATACGAACCTGCTGGAACCTTCGGATCCCAATTCCGAGGTCTTTTACTCAAAATTTCAATCCTAGTTCATTTCTTCAATTTTAAGCTTTCAAAATGAGAATTTCCATTTAGATTTGACTCCAAACTTCCTGAATTTTAATTCTGACCATACACTCAAGTCAATATACCTGAGATGAAGCTGCTCATGGCCTCAAACTGCTGAATGACGCGCCGGAGCTCAAAANTTCATTTCTTCAATTTTAAGCTTTCAAAATGAGAATTTCCATTTAGATTTGACTCCAAACTTCCTGAATTTTAATTCTGACCATACACTCAAGTCAATATATCTGAGATGAAGCTGCTCATGGCCTCAAACTGCTGAATGACACACCGGAGCTCAAAACGACCGATCGGGTCATTACAAAGACCAAGGAATCAAGCCGGGATCGTGTTCGGGGATCAACGGATGATAGTTAAGAAGGACACGGAGAATCGAGCGGGCATACGGCGCATTGTCTAGTAAAATGTACATAACGTTTTTCTTAGAACTCCGTTTGGGCTACAAAATATATCGTTGGAAAGCTATTTGAAAGGTATACAACTTTCATGCTTTGCATTTTTGCAAATGCTCAATGCCACACCACATAGGACGCCGCAGGGTGCGGCGCAACAGTGTAAAAGCTAGCCTGACAAAAAATGCAAGGCTGCTGATAATCTGCACTAGCGCGCCGCCGGGTGCGTCGCGCTTGTACAAATTTTATAGAGCCAGAGTCCTATTTCGAGCAGGAAAGAGTGTTTCGTCTGGGCCCGACCCTACTTGGTATAAATACATATAAAATGCTATTTTTGGGACCTTTGACACATCAGAGACCTAGGGAACATGATTTTGAGAGGAGAACAAAAGGGCAAAACACTAGGGAGCACGGATTTGATCAATTCTTCCATCTCTTTTCTAGTACTTTGATTTTATGTCTGAAACCCTTATTTTTGATGATTGCATGAACATGAGTGGCTAAGAACCCTATTGTTCTAGGGTCATGGGAGAAACATGAATGTTGACTTTTGAAGATTAATTTGACGAAGTTGATTTTATCATATTGGGTTATTTATTTAACTTTGTTTTTAAATATTTTGCTGAGTACCTAACAGTGAAATACTATCTATGATTTTGGAGTTGAACTCAAAATTGAGAACTCTAGATTGCATATGGAATTAAATAGAGCAAGTTCTTAAACTCGGGCATCGGGGAACGGATTCGCAATTAGGATAGATATATACCTAATTGTCTTGCTTGATTGAAATACAGGAATTGTAAATACATTCTCGTTAATCTTAATTTCAGAGACATATAGGCATTAAGTTAACTTGAATAGGCGAGTAAGTACTCGACAAATTCTTATAAGTAGTATCAACCCTGTCAATCAACAATCCAGATAAATCAAATAGTCATTTTAAGCCAAGAACGCAACATGATTGTTAGCTAACTCGTGACCCTAGAATATTCTCTCCTACTGATTGTTAATCGAAATTATTTATTTGTTTTGGTTGATTTCTAGTTAATTCATTGCTTGTTAATTTTAGGTGGTAAATTAGTCACTTCTATATCTTGTGAAAAATCTCTTGAATCGATAAGTTTATTGAGTTTGAATCAGTCAAAAGTTAATCATAAGTTTTCGTGGGAAACGATACTCTACTCACTACTTTATTACTTGACAACCGTGTACACTTGCGTGAGTATTTTTGGTCGTAACAAGTTTTTGGCGCTGTTGCTGGGGACTTAATAATTAGCTACTTGATTGACTTAAGCTTTTATTAGTTATTTTTTCAAGTTTTAATTTTCAGTTTACCTTGTTTGTGTTAACATAGGCTCTTCTCTTGAATGCGGAGGAGTGGAAGCGCAAATAATCTCCTTCCTCTTGATCCTGAAATTGAACGAACACTTCACAGAGTGAGGAGGGAAGTCGAAGCTAGAATTAGAATTTAATGAGAGTTGGATATCGTAGTTCAACCATAGCCAATAGAGATGGCAGGTAACGTAGAGCGTGCAGTGATAGAAACTGCAAGGCTCAATCTCACTAATATGATTCAGGCTATTGTGAAGCCTGAGATCACAGGGCATTTTGAACTCAAACAGTACGTAGTACAACTGATTCAGTCCATAAGACAATATGTTGGTCTATCTCATGAAGATCCACAGAGGCACATTCAGAATTTCTTGGAAATTACGGATACCTACAATTATCTGAACATTTCCAAGGACTATGTCAGGCTGACACTTTTTCCCTTTTCACTGCTAGGGGAAGCTAAGGAATGGTGGCAAAAAGAGCCTGCGAACTCAATCCACACTTGGTATAATCTAGCTAGGAAATTCTTAATCAATTTTTTCCCACTAAGAAGACAAAGTCATTGAGGAGTCAGATTCTTGGGTTCAAATAACGGGATGGTGAGACACTTTGTCAAGCTTGGGAAAGATACAAGAAGATACTCAGAGACTGCCCGCATCATTGCCATACTGATGAGATATTGGGACACACTTTTGGTGATGGGCTAGATGAGGCATCAAAGATGAATCTTGATTCAGCTTGCGGGGGTAGTTGCATGGTGAAACCGTATAGTGAAATCCAACTCTTGCTAAATAACTTTACTTCTAATGATCATAACTAGCAAGGAGATGGGCATTCACAAAGGGCAATTAAATAAAAGGCAGCTGGGTTGATTGAGCTTGACGACTTCTCAGCCGTGAGAGCTAATATATCAAAATTGGCTTATCAGATGAATAGAATGACAATGCAACAAACACAACAGATGCAACATGTACAACAGTTGTCTCTTTGTTACGAACTATGTGGTGAAAATCATATGAGTGACATGTGCCCCATGAATCCTGAATCTATATACTATGTTGGACAATAGAGCAGGGGTCCAATGAATCAGAATGCACAATATGGGAATACTTACAACCCAAATTGGAAGAATTATCCCAACTTCTCATGGGGTAGAAATAGGCCGAATCAAAATCATTATAGACCCCAAGGAAATTTCAATCAACCTCAGAACCCACCCCAACAAACAGAAGAGAGTATGAATGACTTGCTAAAGAAGTTGTTGCTTGACAATCTACAACTCAAGACCGATTTTATAAATCTTGAGAAGCAAATGGGGCATTAGCAGCAAAAATACTAGACCTGCTGAAGCTCTCCCGAGTGATACTGAGCCTAATCCTAAGGCTCAAGTCAATGCGGTTACCTTGAAAAATGGAAGAGAATTAGAAGAAGTTCCTAAGAAAAAGAAGTATACAGCTAGACCTGAAGGAGAATTGGTTCTTAAGCCCGTTGAGGAGAATAAGAAAGAAAAGCCAGAAATTGTGACAAGACCACCACCTCCATTTCCACAAAGACTTCAAAAGCAAAAAATGATGCTATGTACAAGAAATTCTTAGATATTTTGAGCCAAGTGCATGTGAATTTGCTGTTGGTGGAAATTTTGCAGGAAGTGTCTAAGTATGCAAGGTATCTTAGGGATATTGTGGCAAACAAGCGAAGACATACAGAGTTTGAAATAGTTTCACTTACTGAAGAGTGTCGTGCTAGAGTTCAAAGTAAACTTCCTCCTAAGTTGAAGTATCTTAGGTGTTTCACAATTCCTCTGTCTCTCGAAAAACAAGAAGTTGGTAGAGCCTGTGTGATTTAGGGGCTAGTATAAATTTGATGCCATCCTCTTTGTTCAAGCAACTCGGATTGGGGGTGCTTAAACCTACTACAATCACTTTGCAGTTGGCTGATAGATTACTAGTTATGCCAGAAGGAATTATTGAGGATGTGTTAGCTCGAGTGGGAAAGTTTATTCTTCCTGTTGATTTTATTATTCTTGATTACGAGGCAGATGAGGAAGTACCTATTATTATGGTGCGGCCATTCTTAGCTACTGGTGGAGCACTTATTGATATTAGGGAAGGGAAGTTGAAGATGAGAGTTGGCGATGAGGAAATCACTTTTAATGTGTACAAGGCACTTAATCTCCCTAAGCATTATGAGGACTTGTGCATGATTACTTAGGTAGAACTAAAGGGAATAAAACAAAGTCCTTATGCGAATTGTAGTGATTCATATGGGACAACTGAATTGGAGGAGGAGGTGTTGCAAACTGAGTGTGTAAGGATGATTGAGAAAAGATCCAGAGATGAAAGAGGAGACCTTCTTAGAGTGTGTAAAAAGTCTAGGCTTAATGGGTGAAAGAAGAAGAGAAAGCGCCCAGCCTGAACAGAGTAGCAGTGTCGTGCCGCGACGTTAAATCAGGCGCTTGTTGAGAGTAAACCCATCTTTTCTATTTTCTTTTATTTTTATTTTTTTCTAATTATTGTTGTAGTGTTGTTTTTGTTTTGTAGGATTATAAACATAGGAGTCAAAGTCATTGGAAGAATGCAAAAGTGAGTTAAATAGTGAGAACTAAGTGTGGGGTGCCACACAAAGGACCATATATGGGGAAAGTCTGAGTACCCCATGAGCCGCTATTGCTTCGGCTTTTGGCCTTTTAGGGAGTTACTTGTCCGCCCTTGTTATTGTTTTGCTTTATTTGTTCATTGGGGACACTGTACTTATTTAAGTGTGGGGTGGGAGAACTCTCTAGATGATTAGTAGTAAGATATAGAAAAATGTTAACTTCTTATTTTTGTTTTAGTAGTTGTGTAGTATTTTAGTAGCTATGAAAATCGAAAAAAAGGTAAAAAAAAATATACAAAAATTGAACTTTCTCCGATGATGGATCTCCTAGACAGTTTTCTTGAGGGATTTAAGTCTAAAAAAAAGGACAAAAAGATTTTCTTTGTCGGTAGTGTAGCGATTTTCCATTGGTTTTTCTTTGTGCCGCGGTTCTTTTCCAAGGGTTTTGTTTGAACCGGGTATAGTTAGTTTTTATTTTTTTAGAACTAGGAAAACTTGTGTTGTGTTTTGAATTGAATCAATATCTCTTGACTTTGTTATGCCTTGAGAATAGTCAGTACCTTAAATTGTATGATCTTAACTTTGATTAACTTCTTTGACTCGAGTGTCTTGATGTGTCCAATCCTGAGTGAGTTATATGCCATGTGTGTATAAGGTTTTGTGTTATTCTGTGCATTACATTTGATGTCTAGAACTTGCCCCGTGTATTTGCAAAGTGAAATAGTAGTTTTGTTCAGTCTTGGAAGTCATATAAGCGTTTCTTTGTTGAGTAAGATATATATATATTTTACCTCCCTAATTGTTATGTATCATAGTTAACCCCTTTGAGCTTGTAATCTTGTTTCTTTGGCAACCACATTACAAGCCTTACCCATTTGTTTGAATTAACCATCTATTTGAACCTTTTCACCTCTCATGAGCACTTGAATTGTTGTGAACTTTGTAATAGTTAAAGCGTGGGGTGGTTGGTTTGGCTTTTGAGTGGAACTAATGAAATAAGGAGAAAGGTGCATTGTTTTGAAAAAGTAAGAGCCACTTGAATTGAAAAAGAGAAAAAAATAGTTGTATTACTATGAAAAATTGATAGTGGTGACTCTTGATATAATTGTGCTTAAAGACGTGGGGAGTTAATATATATTGATATAAATGTGGAGTTATGGTTTGACATAAGTGTGTGATTTTAAATGTTAAAGTGTATGTATTAAAGTGCTTAGGGAGGCGTAGTCACTCTTATATCTAAATGTATACTACCCGACCCACAACCTACATTACAACCAAATAATATCCTACTTGATCATAGACTGAATAAGCCCAATTAGTAGAGCAGTACACTACGGGCAAGCCTATGGTGCATCTTTTGTGGCATATGAATGTTATTTCTGAGAGTG